AACCGGGCTGCCAAAAGGCAGTGCGCTTCTGATGTAATACCTGTCACCGGCAGTGTTGGAAGATGTTGGAAGCCAGCATCATGAACCAGGCTTGGAGCCTAAGCCTATGTGATTTCTGATCTTTCGGTACAGGAAGGCTCTCAAACACACTCAAGAGCGCGAAAGACGCGCTTCCAGAAGTCTCACTGCAAAGTCACATCCAGCCAATACTACCGCCGAGGGGCTGCAGCTCTGAGATGCCAGTGACATCAGATATCGATAAGTTCGCGGGTATGAAGTCGCAAATGTCCTGAAGCTCGTGCTTGCCTCTCTTTTGAAGCCCAGGCTTCCGAGACCACGAAGCATGCTTTGCAGCTTGTTTATCGAGACAGCTCACACCACAAATTTCTGAAGTAAGGCCATGCTTCTTTACCTCACACAGATGTTAACAACACTTCATGCATGATCTTCTCGGTTGCAACAGCTTGGAGCTTGCTAGCAATCGGATTTCCTTCAATAGCACTCAGTTGCACAAAAGAGCAACTGCTTGTACCTCGCCTCCAGCACCGCGAATGCTGCGGTCACTGAAGGCAAATCGAGGGCGCGGGGGCGTTCCCCTGCATGCGTCTTGGGATCAGCTTGCACTCAGAAGACTTCGGCTGCATAGTCTAGTTGGACCTTTCCTTCTCGTACAGAATTCTTGTTGATGCCTCAAAAGGATACGAGTAGATACTACTTTGCATCGTCGTCCATAGAGTGATGACCAATCGAGACTGGAGAATCAGAAGCTTCGTTTCTCTTGCTGGGCTGTCAACGAGAGTAGCTGTGCAGTTCCTCTAAAGTTGCACTGCCATCGCTGCCACGACCTGCCTGCGGTATCCTGCATGGGCTGCATTCATCTTCCGGCAAGCGGGGAAAGTGTAGGTAATGGGACACAGACTTTTGGCCCGATATAAAGGAAGTGTTAGTGTTGCTGCGAACTCAACCATGTCAAGATCGAGTAGGCCCTTGGCTTGCAGCCGCAGACAAGCTTCACGGGCATTCTGATTCTGCAGAAGTTGCACATTCTGCCCGTGCCTTCGCCAGCTTTTTCCTGCCCAAAATTCAGAGTTGCAGTTCGAGATGCCGAAGGCTTCAGGAGTGGAGTTAGCAACCTACTCTTCAACTGTTCTTTAGCCCTATGCGTCGCGGCCAAAGTGTTTCTGCTGTTAAGAGAAGTGTATGCATAAGGAGCTGCAAAACCGCACAGTGCGAGCATACGCGCGAGCCTCTCTGTTAAGCACCCTGACAAACAAAAGAAGAAACTACATCAGCACGGTAACTTGCACGGCGTGTGAAGATCCAAGCAAATTTAGATCGGAGCAATCTCAACAGCACTAGGAGAACTCTGAACTCGTACGATCCTCCCCGGAGCAACACGGAACAATTCCACGTCTCAAGGAAAAACCTCCCCAGTACCTCACGACATGTCTCAGTGTGTAGGATTTGGAAGGCTTGAACGAGAGTCTTGGCCGGGAGGCCGGCTAAGACACAACGTGGCCTGATAGCTGCGATCCATGATAGCCACGGCTGTAACCAGGTAGTACCCTGCCAAACTCAAGGGCGCGGGCTGTTTCAGACTCTTTCAGCCGTCTGTCAGTGCAAGCACTTCCACTGCATTCCACCCTGCGTGTTTGGAGCCCGTCAAGCAAACAGGGTCTGCCTCTAGAACAAGACCCCGACAAGATGAGGCCTTGGACACCCAGTTCGTTCCAAGAAGCCTTTCTTGTGAAGGAACACCACCGGCCATATCTTTCCCTTCCTGGATCAGCTGTTTCTCCGTGGGCAGCATGTGCTTTTGTGCAAGCCAGCCGCATAATCAAGACAATGCATCCCTGACCTTTCCAAAGCACCGCTTGAGGTGCAACCATGGAGCATTAGTGCTGTCATCGGACCCAGTGGCCAGAGCTTTTCCATCCGCGACTCCTCCGCAGACTCGGGCACTTCACTGCACTTGCCTGTTCTCGCTGACGTAGTATGTGACTCAAGTGAAACATCGCGCCGGAGTCCCAGCCGCGTTCATGTGACGACCTGGAGTGAAACTTGACACGTGGCCACCGTAGCCGCGAGCATGATCTCTGACATGTCTCCGATTGTCTCCGTGCTACACTTCGCCTAAGCAGCGACCGAAAATGCTTCATGACAGCCTTGCGGCAGTGCTGGTCATGAGGATTCATCGGAAAGCTGTTATCGAAGTCAAGTCGTGAGACATACATGAGACAGAGGCAAGATGCCAACAGAAGCAGGTGTCGCCCCGGGCTGGAATCTCTCCGTCCTCCGCTGGATCCCAGCTGAAGGAGCCCTGATGGAAGTCCTCAAGTTTTCAAGGCTCTGCTGTTTTCGGAACCTGGGCATTACGAGGGAATCCTGACTCTCGGAGCCGGGCATTAGTCCAAACTCTGTGCGCGCAGATTGCAGTGGCTTTCCCCCCCGAATCCTCGTGGAAGGGTGCCGGCAGATCTGCTGGAAGGCTGTGGTCTTCCTCCTCCTCCAGAACCTCTGGAGCTACAGGATGCCTGTGGGAAGTGATGCAAGGCCCAGTGGGTGATCTTGCCTTCCTGCAGGCTGTTAGGCATCTCTTGGCGACCGATCTGCTCACATCTCCACCACTTGACCTCCGAGGTTCCTGCTCCGGTTGCCTCGAACCCAGCGTTACTCTACATCTTTCTCCCGAATCAGAACCAGCTGCAGGCCTCTGATACGAAGAGCTGGCTGATGTCTTCGTCACAGGGAAGCGGCACGTGGTTGCAGCCTGTCCGGAATTGGGGCAAGCCCCTCCTACCCCTCAAGACGGATACGGATTCCGAGCATGCCTTAAGCCTTGAGCCCTCAGCTTGCAAAGGGGAGATATCCGCGCTGTGCTCCTACCTCTTGGGAGTCTGCTATAAAATATCGGCTGAACACACCAGAGCGCTAGTTTGCGAACAGCTGCAAACCCGAGGTCATTGTTCGAAAAGGGACCTGTCACCTCTTCCGGATCATACAAGCCCTCGCAACAGAACAGAAAGCCAGCCTTGTAGGCGCTGGAGCTTGCTCTCCTTGTGCATCGGATTCTCATGACTGTAGAAAGAGCTCCCCACACAAGCAGCACCCTGTGTGAGCAGGCAAGGCACCACGGTGGGAAAGCGGCGGCTTGTGAGAAGCCGGACCTTCAAGGCATCTGCTCAGCTAGTTTGCTCCTCTTTGTCTCTGGGAGCTTGGGTTCTTCAGGCTTGAATTGGATCAGGCGTCCCACGCAAACTGTTAACTGAAAGGGTTGGCCTCTGACTCCTTGTGGAAGACCCAAAGGGCTCGCAGCTGGCAGGCCATGGCGAGTGGCTCTGGCTCCAAGCCATCGAGACTCACAGCTGGGGCAAGCGGTCAGGTCTGTTGAATTTGTGCACGAGCTGTGGCCGGGCCGCTTACCATGTGGACGGGGGTGTTGTTCCACCGGTTACCGGTCTGCAGGTCCAAGGGCTGAGAAACTGAGCTGAGAGTTTGGGGTTGACGTGGCTTGACTCTATGTTCCAGCGTTTGCTTGAGACGTGATGCCGGCCGATCTTGGGCGATCCCTTTTCATCTGCAATCCTCTTCTGAGTTTCTCGAGCCCCAGAATATCCTCTTTCCTAAGACTCCCTGAACCTGAGCTATCACAGCCATTCGCGGCTTAAGGCCCTAAGTTCGAAATAATATCACAGTTATCAGATCAGACCCTCAATGTTTTGCAATCTCAGTGTGTCAAGTCTGGCGGCAAATGATCTTCGAGCTCAATCTGCGTCGCCGAGTCGAAAGACTGACCAATGGCTGCTTAGTAGGAGGGAACAGGTACGTTTCAGTGTTGGCCAACTGTCGAGGCAAACCGCAAACAGCAAGAGTTTGACTAGATGCCTCGCAATGGCGGCACTGCTCTGGCAAGAGACGCCAGTGCACGTTAACAAATAGCGAGCCGACTAACCGCAACCCGAACCAAGAGTCATCTGCAGCAGCAAACAGCATAGCGTAAACTACATCGCAAGTTTTTTGAAGAGGGATGTTATGGGCCTGCAAGAACTGGAATGCTCCTACATCCTTGCACCACGAGGTGCATTCATGAAGAAAAGCTCGCACGATCGAAATCTCTGCATCGGGCATATCTGGCCTGTTTGCTTGAAACCATGAAGCCTGTGCACTGCCCTCGTCTCGAAGCCGACGCACTGGTAAGTCTACTGACGACACAACCCTGCAGTCCCTGGCAGTCCCCAGGCCCTAGGCCTGGGCCTAGTCACGAATCACTCGTCCTAGCTGGCCTCGGATTCCTCTGTTGCCGAACCATCCCAGTCGGAATGGTCGTTGCCGGCGACATTGTCCGCCATGGCCCCGCGACCGTGTGGATGGATGCGCACAGGACCCTGTAGGACGGCACTTTTTAAGCCGAAGGCTAAGTTGGAACCTCTAAACTCCTTCCTGGAAGACCATTCCTGTTTTTTCAACAATTAGGGCCAGAGGTCTCTGACGTCGATCTAGACAGGCTTGCTACTCCGATCTTTGGCAAGCGAATGCAGTCCTCAGAAACAAATGGCTACATGATGTCGGGGCGAATCAGGATTCCGCACCCAATTTCCAAACAACTCGGCGTAATTCAGGTTGTCCCCAGAGACAGCAAGCGCGCGCCGACCAAAAAATGCTAGACTTAACAGGAAGTAAAAATCAACAGGCAGACAGCAATCGCTAAGCCCCGAAGCTCTATCAGCTGCAAGAACCCAACATTTAGCAGAGCCCCCGTGCAATCTTGTCTGTGTCAGGCTGCGGAGGTGTCAAACTGACAGTCCCTGTAGGAGACGCATGTGGTTTCTGTGCCGTGGCTCAGTTCAAGAGACCACAATCCAAAATCCGCAATTCCTCAACCCTTGACGGGAAGCGTAGGATCGGCTTGTGGATTGAAATCCCGGAACAGACCGCAGAACTGCCCACAGACCCATCCCGGATCGCACCAACCGCTGCAAAGGACACCTGTCTTCGCTGGCCTGACTCGCTTCTGCGGCGTCTCTGCTTCACGCTGGCTCGCCGCGGTCTGAGAAGCGCATGGGAGCTCGTGGCTGTGCTTCTGGCGTACACGCGAGTCGATGAGGACTAGGCCTAGGCATGCCAGCCACGGTGGGGATCCCAAGTGCTGCAACGGGAAGGGGCCGAAGGGGCCGAGCCGAGCCTTGTCCTTCACACTGCGGCCTGACACCTGGCTGCCCAGGCCCAAACACAGCTCGGCAAGAACTGACAAGCGCGGAAGCCCAACATGTCGAGTCCGAGTTTGCCGTCTACTTTGACCTACTGCCAAGAACTCTTGGCGATCACAAAATCCACGGAATGGAGGTCGTTCATCATCCAAATTCCAAAAGAAGTCCCTTCAGCTCGGAGCGCCCTCTGCAGCCCTTTCGAGCAATGCTTCATGCCGCGGTCCTGGGCGCTCTCTCGCTTGGCTGAGAACTTGGAGCCCTGATCCCAAAATCCTGAACCGGGAGGTCTTTGTCTTTGCAAGCGTAATACCAAGTTTTGCTTGTGAGCCGACGCCAGCTGCTGCCAAAGCGTCGTTGCTTTCACAGATGCAGCGGCCTTCGAAGCCTTCCTTTCTCTTTAGCCTGAGGCACTGCCACGAAGCCCAAACAATCCGAACAAATGCATCAGTATCGTGGAAACACATGTAAACGGATGCTAGGGCCCTAGGGCCGCTGTCCGAGACATCAAGTCCTCATCCGATTTGGCTGTGGGACACGGGGGGGGGGGGGGGGGGGGG